TAATTGAAAAAATATTTTAGAAAACTTAAAAACTCAATATTAAATGACCCTGTATATTTTAGGTGGCAAAAAACAATGGAAGAAATAAAGAATTTGCAAGCATTAAAAGAAAAAATACCATTTAATAAATCTCCATTTATTTTGGGTAAAAATTAGGGTTGGACACAACCGGTTATTGACCGATACCTTCGGGTTTCGGTTAATTTAATTTTAAAATACCCGGTTTTCGATTTTGAGTACCGGTTTTATTTTGGGGGAATTTTTAATAAAATCACTCATTTTCATAATTTCCAAATTTAAAATTTTCTAAAAACGGTTAATTTTTGGCAAAAAATATCAAAAATTGCGGTCCCCGATCGTGTCCAACCCTAGTAAAAATTTAAAAACAAATATTCTATAAAATAAAAAAAAAGATTTTAAGGACAAAAAGATTCTCCAATAAATACAAAAATTAACAAATTAATTAATGATGGAATAAAAATAGCAAATAAATTAACCAGAAATAAAGAAGAAAATAAAGTAGATAACAATAGAAATGTCAATTTTCTTTCCCCAAGATTTTTGAGTTTGACGGAAAATAAAAATAATAATAAGGCAAGTTTGAAAGTTTTTTTTGATTATGTTTCTACCATTAGTTTAGGTCAGGTAAAACTTGGGTTGGGTATAATTTACCTAATCTAATAAGTCTACCTAACTAGCGGATAAAGGCGGTAATGGGCAAAAGAAGAGGTCGGTAGGGAAATCTAAAGGTGTCGGGAATTGGATTTTTGATAACCATCGATGTAATTTAAAGGAAATTAAAGAAAAAATGATTTTGACCCAAATGAACCCTTATCAATTTTTTGATTTTATGTTGAAGAGATTAAGGTTGGCGATTCGGATTTTAAAAAGGCCAGAGTTCCTAAATTTTCGGTAAATATCAGTTTTAGATCTGGATATTAAAATTTCTCAATAACCCCCAACGTGTATCAAAATGCTCATGAGTGTAGAATAAATTTTATGGGAGAGGGGGGAAAGGGTCTTCGCTCAAAAAATAATTTATTTTACTTTTTGAGTGAGGGACGTATCGGCTAAGTCTTAAGGGCACTAAACCAGGGCTCGCATCGACAAAATGCCACTCAAAAGTATCAGAATCTTGATTAAAAAGTATATAGGGAGAAAATTTTTAAATAAAAAGTAGTCTCAAAATTAAATTAGAAAATATTTATTCGTCCTCAAATCTTTTATATTTCTCTCCTAAATGAATCTTTTTTAATAATTTCCTGTTTCAACTGAGCATTTTGTCAATTTCAATGCACCTTTTGGGGCGCCGAAGGCGCCAAAAAATCTATTTTTTGCGCTGCAGGCGAAAATTTTGAGAATTTTGGAGGCCGTAGGCCAGAAAATTCACTTTTTTGCCCGATCCCTTCCCCAATTTCATTTTCAATCAAAAAAAAGTATATACTTTCAAAAAAGTATAAATTCAATTTCGTAAGCATGGAGGTCGATTTAAAAGTAGAATACTTTTAAAAAAGTATAAATGCGAGCCCTGCACTAAACCCTTTTATCTATTCAAAAATATTTAAATTTTTTCCAGTTTTCTAATTTATTATCTCCATCATTATTCAGTTTACATAATGAAGGGAAAGGGTTAGAAAAAGAATTAAGCTTACCTAAATTATTAAAATCAACAAAAATTAATGGCCGAGACCAACAAGAATGGCTAAATTTAATAATGGAATATTCTGGAGTAAATCAACAAATTGAAGAAATTAAAGTTTTTTTTCTTAAAAAATTTAATTATAAAAATAATTATTGAAAAGGAAGCTTTTAATTTTAATTCAAACAAAATGTATGATCAAAATTTGGATAAAAATATCGAAAAATGTTATGAAAATCAATTTAAAGGAGCATATTTGAATAGAAAAAATGTAAAATATTTTTGTTTTTAATATCTAACCTCATTTTTAGATACGCTCAATATTAGGTGACCTCTATTTAAGATACCTCTCATTATAAGGAGCATTTTCTAAATCCATGGGAGTATTCTATAGTGAAGTCTGACTATGATTAAAATACAGTCTAGAACCTCGGTTTAGATGCATACAATATGTATATCTAAGTTAGGATACCAGGTGCAATATTTTCGATCCAGTAGTGTATCTTAGAGTGAGATCTGGCTATATTTATATTCATTTTAATTAGAAGTCTAGAGCAGACTTGGTAATGGACATGGATTTTGGTATCCGTATCCAGATATTTACGACGGATTTAGACGGATATTCGCAGGCATTGAACCTATCTGTATCCATATCCGTATCAATTACCAAGCCTAGTTTGGAACCACTATGTATAAGTACAATTCAATCTAGGATACCTTTCTAACATTTGTTTGGCCCCTGTATAGGGGATGACTGAAAAAGCACCTAATTTTTAATACCTCCCATTATAAGATACAATTCTTTAGATCCAAAGGGCATCTAAATGAGGTCTGATTATGTATGTATTTATCTAAAATAATTTTTTTAATTAAATAAAGATACAAAATATGTTAGGAGATTATGAAGAAAGAAAAATTGCAACATGGGAAGAATTAAATAAAAAATTTAATTATAAACAAGTAAATTAAATTTCAAAAAATTTTTTAATCAAAATTAAAGAGAAAAGAATTAGACCAAATAGGCTATTCAATGCTTACTAGAGACCAATTAAAATTTTTGTATGGCCCAAAATCTCCCTTCAATGACTCTGTGACACTTGAAAGATTGTTGCCTTTAACAGAAACTTTAACGATAAATCAGGTAAATTAAAGGAATTTTTTAAATAGAAATCAAAATATTTCAAAGATAATCGAGAGCGATATTAAAAAAATATCGCAAATGAGTTCTTTTAATATTCGGCAACACGATGTTGTGGTAAGGATATTTTAATAGGGAAGTTTTGTGAGTTTGTTTTAACATATCAGAACGAGAGTTGACGGGTCCGGACACGCAAGAGCCCGGATGTCCTAAAATTTCCTGTCGGATATAGATCCGGATATACGTAGATTCCAAGACTCAACCAACCAACCCTAATCTACCAGTAAAAATCTATCAATATAGCGAGGTTAATTTTTAAGTTCCGGAAGATATTAAGGCTAAGTTGATGTGCCGGTTCGAAAACGAACTAAGAAACCGAGAATTTTTGTAATAAAGGTTAATCTTTAACTTGGTGTTCTATTATATTATATAAGTAAAAGAACCTGATAAAATTACCCGGTATTCCTACCCTATTTTTATAATACGCCCCTTAGTGAAGGCTTTAAATGTAGATAGTCCCCTAAAGTGTTAATTATACGTAAAACTCGAAGTTTCGATTTTCTTTAATTTGTTGGGGCCAGGGGCGGGCGCTAGAGACAATTTCAAAAAACGCAGAATCAGAATCGAAGGCCTCAGGTTGGAGCCTTCGATTCTGAGTGCACTCAGATTTTTGGACGATTTAATTTAAATAAATTTTTCTTTTTTTTTCTAGCTTTCCCCAAGTGTGTTTAAACCGGGAATATTAAATCCAACGTAAATTTATAATAAAAATTACAAAAAAATTTTTTTACAGTCGAGCAAGTCAACCATTTATTCTTTCACCTGCTTTATTTTCTCCAACAATTCTTTCACCAAATATTTTTGGTGCTGGAATCCTTTCTCCTAGACTTTTTTCACCTACAGTTGGGATTTTTTAAAATTAACTTAATTTTGTTTTTTTAAAGATTTTAACACCAAAAATCATGTCACCTTTAATTTTAAACCCTTTAGTGTTCTCACCAATTATACTTTCACCAATTGTAATGGAACCATTTATTCTATCTCCTGGATTGTTTCATTCCGTGGTAAATTTTAAAAATTTTGTCGTTGTTAAGAGAGGAAATCGGGGCTCTTCGGGGGGCTCTAACACAGGAGGGGCTCTATTTCTCAATTTTCCTCAAAGAGTGCTTCCTTTTCTGGCGGAAGAAACGGAAGAGATCCCATTCATGGTGCACACCCGAAAAATTTTGACCCCTTATAGATTACTATAAATCCCCCCCCTTTTTAATTCAGAAGGTGGAAGGCTTTAATAAAGAAAATAAGGTAGATTTTTCAACCCTAAGAAGCAAATAAAAAAGGGATTCGATTGTATTTGAATTAAATTAACTAATTGATTGAAAGAATTGATCGAATTAATTTATCCCAATCATCCCGAATAACCTTCAGAAAATTATTTTTTTTTTAATTTTTAGATTTTAAGCCCATATATATTGACTCCATTAATCCTTTCACCCTACATTCTCTCATCAGTAGTTCTAAGTCCATCAGCACTTTCACCTCTAATTTTAAGTCCATTTGCTTTAAACCCTCAAGTATTATCACCAAAAATATTTTCTGGCCTAATACTCTCTCCATATGCATTTTCGCCTGTTTTATGGAGCAAAACATATCATTATGTGGTTATACTTTCGCCAAGTTTGATGAGTTAATGTTGAATGATTAAACAATATTTTGATGATTTTTGAAAAAAATTAGAGTTGAGACAACTTCCAATTTTAATTAATTGAACTCATATATTTTTTATTTTGTAAACGATTCAATAAAAAATTAATAAAAAATATAAATTTGTGTATATCAATTAATCTAAAAATTGTTTGATTTAATTAGTGACCAGATGCATGAGGGGTTCTACATATGAGGGATTCTGAGGGACCTCCTTTTTGATTTCAGGATGCGCGGGAGTAACTCGCGGGATTCCGTTCCGCAAAGATTTTTAGAAAAAATTTTACTTATAGATCTTGCAAACACGATGCTAACATTCACTAATTTTAATCAGACAATATTTTTGTATTTAAATTTAAAAAATAATTATTTTAATTGTTTGGCAAAATGTTATTAAATTTAAATATTTAAGGAATCTAATTTTGCTGATATGGGCATTCTCTTAAAATTCTTCGTCATATTTATTAACAATTAGGAAAGACTCAACCCTTTTTAAAATAAATTTTTTAAACTTAAAAGATAATGCCAAAATATTTAAGAAGAAAATGTGAAAAAAAGCGTGGAGACAAGAATAAATTTGGTGAAAGAAAATTAATCGAAAAAGATGGTGACAATCAGGGTGTGTTTTATTCTAAAGATTTTTTGCATTTTAAAAAATTTTTCTAGTCTATGGACAGGTACAAAAACTGCTTGGGAACTGTCGATTAATGGCTTTTTGTTTTGACGGCAAAGACCGTCTGTGCCGTATTCGCGGAAGTTTACGTAAAATTACGTGGATAAATGTTGGTGATATTGTCTTGATTGGACTTAGAGAATATCAGGATAATATGGTGCTTCTTTCTTTAAAATTGCATTTGTGATCGAGCTGGGTCTGGACCAAGGCCTGGGTTTTCCTGTACTCGGAGTCCAAACCTAAGCATTTTTTGACCTTCCTGGGGCTTTCCTGGGCCTGGGGTTTTCCTGTACCCAGAGTCCAGTCCTAGGCATTTTTTGACCTTCCTGGAGTATTTCCTGGGCCTGAGGTTTTTCCTGCACCCAGAGTCCAGGCCTAGGCATTTTTTGACCTTCCTGGAGAGTTTCCTGGGCCTGGGTTTTTCCTGCACCCAGGGTCCAGGTCTAAACATTTTTTGACCTTCCTGGGGGTTTTCCTGGGCCTGGGTTTTTCCTGCACCCAGGGTCCAGGTCTAAACATTTTTTGACCTTCCTGGGGGTTTTCCTGGTCCTGGGGTTTTTCCTGGACTACAGACCCACGATCCGGCCCTCGTCAATAAATCAAACCCAGAGTTTAGGAACAGGCCCAGACTTTTCAAAAATCTCGATTTCTAATATACATCGTCCTTTCACCAAATTTTTATAGGGAGATGTAATTTTAAAATATACGCAAGACGAGGTTCGCGCTCTACGGGAGTCTGGTCAAATAAGTGAAACTGTGAAAGTGAATGATAAAGATATTGAAATTTTGTTTGGTGAGATTATTTTAAAAAGAAAATTTTCAAAAAAATTTTTTTTCTTAAGAGAATAAGGATAAAAATGTGGAAATTACTGTTATGCCACAAATGAGAAAATTTTCGATTAGTGAAAGTGAAGAGGAGGAAACGGATGAAGAAGAAATTGACAATTAGGGGAAAGCAAATTATGTTGAGGAACAGGAAAAATAAGAAGAGTGAGGAAGGCAAAAATTAATTGACATTCAATTAAAAAAATTTTTTTGTAATTATGTCCCAAATATCGACTTGTTTTGTAGATCTTTTGCAAATACTTACAAGATTTTTATTTTTTATTCTTTCAAGTTTTTAAAGTATTTTATTCAAATTGAAATGACAAAAAGATTAAAGATTTTTATTGTTTTTTTACATTGGATACATTTCAGCAGTTTATCAACTATTACGTTTTATCACGTCCAAGATAAATTTCTAAGCGTTGACGGAACAAAATCGGACTGAAAAAAACAAATCGGACTGAAAAATCCCTATTAAATTTTTGATGTTTATCTGTCCGCAGTTGAATTTTACGAGACTTTTGGTGGGGTGTTTGGTGGTGTTTATTTTTTGATTAAAAATTAGAGACCGGCGCGTCTCAGGATCCCACGGGAATACCGTTCCCGCACTCTTTCAATTTTCGAGATGCGGGACTTTGCGGGATTTATCATGCAAAATCCTGTCCCACAAAAATTTAAAGAATTTCACATGCGGGATCTCGCAAACACGATTTTGCTGACCTCTATGTCCAACCCTAGTAAATATACAACACACAACATTTTTATACAATAAATACAAATAATCGCAACACAAATACAATAAAAATAATTACAACAAAACAAAATTATTCATCAACTCTTCTAATTTACTAATCAGCCGTTTTCTTAGAACCAATAGGTAAACATAAGACGATCGTTGAATCTTCTTGTGGATTATCTACATCAACCATTTCATACTCCACAACTTTAGGAAATTCTTCTTCATTCTCTTCCTCCACAAAATGTTCCTCCACAGGATAATATTCACGTTCTTCTTCTTTTAGCAGTTCGCCACGCAGTTTCACAAAATTATCTTGGAAATAGAAGCCTCGATATCCGTGAATAACAACGTAATTGTGCAAAAGATCACATCCTCTAGTAAAAATGAATTGTTCCTTATCAACCAGATAAAAACGGTTTGTGTGGAATTTGAACGGAGAATCGCCAAAAAATAATTTAAGAATGCCCGGATTGATATAGGCTTGTTCAACTTTGAAGTTTTCGATGAAGCAATGGGAAAGCTTCTTTAGCCAGTGAAGAAAAACAAGCATTTCTTCAATTGTTTCTGGATATCGTTTTAATTGCAGTCGAAGAAATTTGGGCGATGTTCCATCTAGAAATGAAAAAGTTAACTGATAAGAGCTTCAAAAGTTCACCCGTTTCTACCGATTCAAACAGCAAATTCCCAATTTCGTTTGTTTCGTCAATTGATACATCATATTTGTTTTTGTGATAAAGGAAGGCAGGAATCCGTTCTTGAATTGCTGTTTGATACTGAAAAATGAAAAGAATTTTTAAGCAAAATAACCCTCAATTCTTACCTTTAATTCATTTTGGGCGCTCAAAGCCAAGTCCAATTCATTAGGAACACATTCCAACTCTTTACAAGGATCTGTAAAACAAAAACTTTATACTCGGTTAAGGAGCAAAACCCTTACAATTAGCAACCAATTCAACAGAACAGAACACTTTCTTAGCCAATTCTTCGTTGTAGTTGACGATCACTTCACAAAAATGACGATTTGACAGTTGAAAGTTGTTCAATTGGTAAAAGTTGAGGCATTTGAAGATGTCAAGTTTTGTTTCGGCCGGTAGAAGATTCATTGTTGTTATGAAACTTGTTTCAGCAGGTAGAAGATTTGTTGTTGATTAATGAGAGAAAGATTTAGTCAAAAAACGTTAGCCTTTTATACTCTCTTTTCATACTAGACATTACTGTAGACTATGTAAAGTATTTTGATGATTAATAGGGATAAAAGTATGTAGCGGTTAAAATCCGTCAACATTAGAATTCTTCAATGGTGGAGATTAAGTTTCGTCAGAAGCAAAAGATCAGAGTTGGGGGATCTCAGATTTTGATTGTACTGATCTCTGATTGTAATTACGCCCTTATTAATATTTATTGGCGTTGTGTTTAAAATCCAGTCAGACACTACTAAATTTTTTCTTCTCTACTTTTTGTTAGCAAATTTGTTCAATTTTTTATGATTTTGTTAATTTTTAGATCAAAATCTATTTAAGTTTTTGGTATTTGATCAACGCAAAGTTATTAAACAATGCCAAAAAACAAAGGAAAGGGAGGGAAAAAGCGAAGACGAGGGAAAAATGAAAATGACATTTTGAAGAGAGAATTGGTTGAAAAAGATGGAGAAAATCAAGGTTTGAGTATTTTATTTTCAAATGAAAGTTTAAAAAACAACTTTTTAGCCTATGCACAAGTTCAGAAAATGCTTGGGAATGGTCGTCTGACAGCTTTTTGTTTTGATGGAAAACAGCGGCTTTGTCATATTCGAGGCAAATTGAGGAAGAAAGTTTGGATAACGCCTGGCGATATTATTCTTGTTGGACTTAGAGATTATCAAGACGAAAAGGTTTTCAAAATCGAGTTTTGATTTTGGTAGTAGAGGGGTTTTAGCCTTAATGAATCCAGTCGATTAATTTACTTTTGGGTAGGATCTCTTTTTGGTTGGGGAAGATCTTTTTTGTTAGGGAGAAATTGGAAAATTTTCTTGGAGACGGAGCCAGTGAAACTTTTATGAGATCGGCCTGGAGTTGGATCCAGACCTTGATTTCCCCCTAATCTAGAGTAGGGTTGACTCCGAGCCTTCGAGGGCGGGATCGTCGGGGATCGGAGTTTGTCGGTGTAGAGCCTTCGGGTCAGGGTTTTTGCTATAAAATTTATTGAGGGACGGGGTGCTGCCCTAATCTAGAGTTATGATCAAGGCATCTTTCAGTGTTCCTTGGGATTTCTTTGACCTAAAGTCAAGAATCTGGACAATTTCCTCAACCAAAATCAAGGTCAAGTTTTTTTTAGAATTTCCGTTCTCTACTAATTTTTTGAGACTTTTCCATCTCTTTTCACATAGTTTATGAAATATTTGTTTTCTTCTTATCCAAGTAAACATTTTCTTATTTAAGGCAGACGTAATTCTAAAATACACACCGGATGAGGCTCGTATTCTCAAAAATGTTGGTCAGTTGCCTGAAAGTACAAAATTAAACGAAGGCGAAGAGGAAGATGCTGGAGGGGTTGAATTTAGTAAGAAACCCTTCTAAAAAATTTTCCATTTATTTTTTAGTTGATTCTGGCGAGCATTACAGCGAGGACGAAGTTGCTGCTCAAGACAGAAATTTCTCTCTTAGTGAAAGTAGTGAAGAGGAGTCAGATGAAGACGAGGAGGAGGAGGAAGAAGAAACAAATATTAAAAGTAAAGGAAAGGTTAAATAAACTTTAAAAACTGAGGGAAATTATTTTGGGATTTAAAATTATATTATGGTCCTATCGGTTATACGCCCACAAACAGAATGCCATCCGATCTTGATTAATACTGGACTTATTTTGTTATAACTTTTAAATGCGTGATCGACTTGATCTATCCTATAGAAAAAGGTACTGCTCATTGAGGGCTTCTAAATGATATAAGATTTATTTAAATTGTATCAGGCGCAAAAAAGTTATAGCCGATCAATATCGGATGGCACTCTGTTTGTGGGGGCATAACCGATAAGTACCTATGTTATATTCGTTTAATTTCGTTGTATTTAAAAAAGTAAATAAAGGTTTGTTGAAAATGTTTATTTTTGATCATTAAAATATATATCTTATATATTTCAATATATTTTTAAAATTTTTGTTCGTGCTTTTTTAGTACTTATGGAATGTTGCCGTAATACTAAACGCCGAAATACCAAAAATGTTGATTGTTAACTACCTTACGCATCGATAAGGCAACTTTCACCGTTGTTGAAACAACTTTCCACGTGTTGGAAAGCAAGTTTGTAAATTTTTCCACAGTTTGGTTTTACTATTTTTGGAGGTTGCTATTTTGGCGATTGGTATTTTGACGCTCTTTCCCCACTTATTTTTCTAAATTTTTTCGACATCTTTATTCGAGCATGAGGAAATAACTTAACATTTCTTCACGCTCATCCTTTCTTCAAAATTTTTTAAAATAATTTTTAGAAGCTTAAAAATGGACAAAATCAAAGCATTCATTAAAAAGAAAAAGGCAGACAAAAATTTTAAATTGGCTGGACCTGGATATGTTTTAAAAGATGACAATACCCAATCAAGCAGTTCACCAAAACATTCTCCTCCAAAACAATCACAACAAGCTAAAGTAAAATTTAAAAGAAATTTTTTTTAAATTTTCTTTTCTAGCCTCCTCCACGTCCCGATGCTTCAACAATAGCACAGGCAGCTGAGAGACGAATGGCTAAATCTGCACCGCAATCAGAATTGACACCAATGCAAAAAATTATTAAGATGCAGGTTTTGATTAGTTTCTAAATTTTTTTGAAATTTTAAAATTTTTATCAGGCAAAGAAGGAATTGGAAGAAGAACAACGCAAATTGACAGAAGAAATGAAAGGAACAAAAGTTGACGGCACTTCTCCTAAAATGCCAAAGGTTGACAATGAACAATCTAGTGTTTTATATACCTGTGAGCTATTTGGTGAAGATGAGGCTTTGCCAAAATCAGAGGTTTGTTTGAATAAATTATTATGGATGTAGACTAGCCTAGCGTGAAGCCATGGCTAACACTAACTTTCCCCAATGTAGCTGCGTTGGGTCATGCCAAACTTGAGCTAATTAAGTCTAACCTTTGCATTAGGCTCAACTGTGGTTCGTGATGTACTCGTTGACAGGAACAGACCTTTCTATATACAATGACAAAAATAGAATAGTCTTTTTAGATTGCTTTAGTTAACCTTCACAAACAGTTAACTTTAGTTAACCTTTTTTATTAAAGATGCTGGATGCAATAGGTTCTTGCCTTTTTGAACAACTTCAGGATGGTGAAGCTGATCCTTTATATACAACTACTTGTATTATTCATACTTTAAATAAAGAAAATGTTAAAATTCCGGCATTGGATACAATTCAACGTTATTTACAAAATATTATTGACAACCCAAATGAACAAAAATTTAGAAGGATTAAACTTTCTAATAAAGTTTATCAGGTTAATTTTTAATTTAGATTTTCTTTTGTAATGTCTTGGAATTTATCTTTGAATTTAATTCAGTTTTTTCCTTGTGATTTTTGATAAAGATCGAGCTGGGTCTGGACCAAGGCCTGGGGTTTCTTGTGCCGAGAGTCTAGGCTTAGGTATTTTTTTACCTTCCTGGGGTTTTTCTGAGCCTGAGTTTTTTCTTGAATACAGGCCCAGGATCCGGCCCTTGTCAATAAATCAAACCCAAAGTCCAGGAACAGGCCCGGGCTTTTCAAAAATCTTGATCTCTAATTTTCCTTGGATTCTTTTTTGTGTTTCAACCTTTACTAATTTTATTGTTTATCTTTTTAATTCTTAATCATTTTCTTAAATCCCATTAAAAATTATAAACTAAAATATACTTTTTAGGAGAAAGTAGCACCATGTACTGGAGCATTTGAATTTTTGATAGCAACTGGTTTTCGTAAAGAAGAATCGGCTGATGAACATTTTTTAGTTATGGATAGTCTAAATATTGGATCAATTGAACAATCATTAACTGTTCTTTTTGAGGGAAAGGCTATTGCTATTAAATTGTTTCGTGATCGAAAGGTTTATTTAAAAAGTTTCATAAAATTAATTTTCTTGGATTAGGGGTGTTAGAAATTTTGTTAGTTTTGGATTGTTTCCAGGTTTACAAGGGAGCATTTCGAACTTGACCAAAAATTTTTAAATAAAAATACCATCGTGTAGAGCATGGCCTATTCCCATATGTGGCTTTTTTGGCTCCGATCCCCATTTCGAAAAGATAGGAGTTCAAATTTTCAGACTTGGAGTGGTCTGTATTGCTTAATTTTTTTGACAATTCCCAATTCTATTTTATTTAAAGGAAATTGCTTCTTCAAGCAAAATTCTATATAAAATACATTTCCAATTTTTGGCTAAAAAATTTCGGGTTAAAAGAATTTTTTTGGAAATCGGTGGATGATTAATATAAGTAAGAATCCGTTTCTAACTCTTGCGCCCAGAATGCAATTTTTATAATTAAACTTTTCTTTACCAAAGAATTTTTACAATTAATATTCTTCAAAGATTTTAATTTTACAAATTTTTCAGGTTTTTATTATCGATCCAAACAAACCTTTGCCTGAAATTCCAATCCCTCCGGATTTCTTTTCTCGTACGGCGGATGAAATTCTTCGTGAACAACAACAACGTACTGAAGCATTAGAACGTATGACAACATTAAGAACACAAAAAATGCGGGAAATGGATTCAATTAAAGCAGCTGCTTCTTCGACTATTTATAAATATACTTTGATTCGTGTTCGCTTTCCAAACAATTATTTAATTCAGGTTTGTTTATAGATAATTATGATAGGGAAAATTTGTGATATTAGTTAAATGAAATTTTGTGAAAATAATGTTAGGGAATTTAATTTTCTTCTACAAACATACATACCTAATCGAATTTTGAGTAAATCCGCAGCGTTATTTGGATTTTAGTCCTTTTCGTTAGGTTTACAGTTTTCGAAATTCTTAAAAATTTTTGATTTTTTTCAGAGTTTTGATTTTGAGTGTAAAAATAAATCTTTAAATGTTTGTAAAAAATACTGAAAATATTTTAAATTAATTTGCTTTCCAATTATTACAAATTTTTCGTATAGGTCTCTGAAAATTTCAAACTTTTTAAAGTTTCATGTTTCCACTCAGAAAGAAATTACGTAGCATATTAACGTTTTATAATAAAAATTCAAATTTAAAATTTTAAAAATCTTAAAATTTTTTTGTAATTTTTAGGCAATTTTCAATGTTCATGAACGGTTCCAATCACTCAGAGAATTTGTTTTCAAAAATTTAGCCTTAGAACATGGCTCTTTCACTTTAACTTTTCCTTCATCTTCAAATAACAAGTTTATTTTTTAATTTAATAATTTTTAATTTTTTAAATTTTAGCGGAATAGATTTAGACAAAGAAAACTCCACATTTTTGGAATTGGGACTTGTGCCGTCAGCTATTTTAAATTTTAAATGGGATGCATCTACATTGGAGGTATTTTTTATTAGCTAATTTTAAAATTAATAATGATTATTTGGAACTGACTAAAATTAAATTTGAGTGGAAATTTTGATTAGAAAATTTGATTTTTAGGAGTTATTTTAAATGAATTAAAATTTTTGAATTTTCGAAAAAAAATTTAAAAATTTTATAGGGACATTTAAATGATTCAATTCCTTATCTTAAACATGAGCTTGAACAAACTGCAATTGCATTGTGATGAAGAATTTTTGATGGTATTTTTAAATGATATTTAATTGGTATATATTTATTGACTATATGGAATGGGGATTTCATTCAAAATTTAGCAAGGGTAAACAATTTAAGGTAAATCTCTTTGAATTGAATAAAGCAATTAACGGTTTTCTTGTCGGGCGTTTAGGTTAAGGGGGTTGGTTTAAGTAAAAATGTCAGGATATTATTAAGTTTGCATTTTTCTTTGAATGAATCCTAAAAATTTGACCTGCACTAAAAGTTGTAGATTATTTAATTAGGGAGTGTCTTATGTTTTAAGATTTTAGCATTATCTGACCATTAAAAACGTCAATGGTCTACATGTAGCGTCCCAAAAAACTAAAGTTTGCTTCCTCATTCACTCTTCCAAAAATCCTATCCTGATAAACCCAAACAATTAAAAATAAAAATTGTCTAAAATACGATGATACATCCTAAGTATTCCGCTCTCAGTTTTCGAATCCACTGAAAACTCATCCAATTCTCACCTAGCTCCAAGCTACTCACCCAATACCTCTTCATACCTAAAGCCGCTATACCATGATCTGCCGCCGTACATGAAATTTTGATTAATTCAAATAACGGTGTTCAAAATATATTTTAAAATTATTATATAAAGTAACCTTAACATTTCATTATTACTTTAAAAATCATTTAAAAACCCAAGTATTCAAATTTACAAAGTGCAAAAACCAAAAAATTTATGAATAAATTACTTTGCGTCTGTGGTTATGGTCGTATTTTCTTCCAATTTTAACTCTTCCATCGTGTAAAATTACCCTCCGTAGACGTGCCGGACATCCTGCCTTATGTACCTCCTAGTCGAAAATTTTATTTATTTACGTGTTAATGGCTCTTATCAAATATTAAAAAATTGTCTAAGAACACTTACAACGCATCTATAATATTCAGAATTAATTCGTGGAGAATTTCTCCAAGAACGCCAAGTTCCTTGATGGACACCCATCCAGTTATCAAAAGCTGCTTGGGATCGAAACGTGTGAATGTCTCTATAAGGGATAAATCTTGCCATTTTAATTTTTGTTAGTTTAAATTTATTAAAACAGCATTTACTGAACTTACAATTTTAACATTACTCCTCCTGACCCAGGAATAATGTTAAAATTGTAAGTTCAGTAAATGCTGTTTTAATAAATTTAAACAAACAAAAATTAAAATGGCAAGATTTATCCCTTATAGAGACATTCACACGTTTCGATCCCAAGCAGCTTTTGATAACTGGATGGGTGTCCATCAAGGAACTTGGCGTTCTTGGAGAAATTCTCCACGAATTAATTCTGAATATTATAGATGCGTTGTAAGTGTTCTTAGACAATTTTTTAATATTTGATAAGAGCCATTAACACGTAAATAAATAAAATTTTCGACTAGGAGGTACATAAGGCAGGATGTCCGGCACGTCTACGGAGGGTAATTTTACACGATGGAAGAGTTAAAATTGGAAGAAAATACGACCATAACCACAGACGCAAAGTAATTTATTCATAAATTTTTTGGTTTTTGCACTTTGTAAATTTGAATACTTGGGTTTTTAAATGATTTTTAAAGTAATAATGAAATGTTAAGGTTACTTTTATATAATAATTCTAAAATATATTTCGATCCCCGTTATTTGAATTAATCAAAATTTCATGTACGGCGGCAGACCATGGTCTTCCTAGTTAAAATTTCATTTTCCCTATGCTATATTTTACGTATGTCAATGATATATAGAGCATGCATATCATTGACGTTTTTAATGGTCAAATAATGCTAAAGCTCAAAGCTTAGACACATCCTTAGCAGACCTGGGCGAAACTCAAAATTTTTTTCTGACGAAACGAAACGAAACAAAATTTTTTAAAAATCGTTTCGTTAACGAAACGAAACGAAACAACCAAAATCTTACGAAACGAAACGAAACAAAACGAAACATTTTAATATTCAAAAAATTTTCAAAACTGCATTTATTTCGCAATTATTCGACCTCAAATACTTTATTAGTCGCCTATGCCTTATAAATTAGAGCCCGGACGGAGGGCTCGGTCGATATTTTTTTGATAAATACCGAAAAATACCGAATATCGAAAAATATCGAAAAAATCAAAATTTTCTCGGTCGATATTTTTTCGATAATATCGAAAAATATATATCGAAAAATATCGAAAAAATATCGTATCGAGCCGGGCTCTATTATAAATGATTTAGTTATTGGTTTATTTACAACAATTGTGTCCCATAAGCCAGGCCCGTAGCAAGGAAAATTTTCGGGGAAGGGGGGGGGGTCAATCATTTTCGAAGCCGAATTTTTGGCGACGCTTTTTTTCAAATAAGATTGAATATTTTTCAAGTAAAATTTTATTTTAAGCGCCGCAGACGAAAAATTTTAAAATTTTGAAAGGCCGTAGGCCAAAAAATTCACTAGCTTGCTCCATTGCCTACCCAAATTGTCTCCATATCTCCATTTCGAGAGGAAGGCGATATAAGCTAGTGCTTCGCCGGAAGTTCCGGTTCCAGTATTTCCGCAACTCGCAATCCGCAATTTTTAAATTATGATGCGAGTCCGGTAATAGAATTTGTCGTCTATTAAGTAATATGTATATGTGGATTAGGGAGTAGAGTATAAACGGATTTGTAGTATATAAGTAATTGATATCTTCCTTTTTCAGCGCCGCAGGCGAAAATTTTGACAATTTGGGAAGGCCAAGAAGCCGAAATTCTTCTTTTTTCAGCGCCGCAGGCGAAAATTTTTTAAATTTTCAATAAAAGATGGTAAATTTTATAGATTTTGGCCTTAGTTTAGGCTTAAAAAATTGTTTCGTTTCGTTGAAAAATCACAGGTGTTTCGTAACGAAACGAAACGAAACAAATTTAAAAGTGTTTCGTAACGAAACGAGACGAAACAGTAAAAATCATACGAAACATACGAAACAACGAAACGAAACGAAACGTTTCGCCCACGTCTGATCCTTAGTCACACTTAAAATACATTCCTTTTTATAAAGAACGTATATATTTTTATTTAATGTATTTTATTAGCATAAATATTTCAAGAAAATGCTAAAAAATATTGCCTTTAAAAAATAATTAATGCGTTATCAAGTGAAAAACTATTTAAGTAAATAAATGGTGTAATTTAAGTAGAAAACATAAAATTATTTTTTAATTGATACAAGAAGTAGATTCATCTGGAAATTTAAATTCCATATTCAAAACGCCTCCATCAAACCATTTTTGAACGTCACTGGTTCTGGTTACATAATCGGATGGAATAGTTAAATCTATCTTGCGTTGGCAGGGAAGAATACCTCTGTTGCAATCTGTGTAAACTGAAGAAGAATATTAATTAACTAATATGTATTTTAAAATTGAGTTCTCCAATGGAATAATCTCTCATTTACCAGAGGATGTTTTAGTCAAGGGGCCCCAACACGGTACGATCGTTAAACTTGTTTTTATTAGACTTCTGAAAGGGATCTCTAAAAGATACCTTATCTAAATCAAAAAGGGAGTGCACTTGAGGTTCAATCGATATTACCGTTATAGGTATTTTTTGAACCGACATATCGTATCAAGTCCGATCTATATTTTAAATAGTATAAGAAAATATCTAAATACTTTTAAAATGAACATCCATGGAGAGAAGTGCTCCTTTCCCTCCTTGTAACACATAATTTCCATTAGCATCAGTACGTGCATCAGCAAGCTGATCATCTCTTCCTAAGAAGAATTTTTCAAGAATTTTGAGTATTTAATATTTACCAATTTTTTTATTCCAAAGTTTTACTTTTGTCCCAGAATCGGGTTTATCCCCACACATTAATCTTCCACGGATTCCAACAGATTGTTGTCGAAATGCCTCAGAAAGGGATATAAGGAGCAAAATTAAAGCGAAAGTTTGAATTAATTTTGAAGGCATTTTTAAGCTATACATATTTAACAGAAAGTATTTAAAAAACAAAATTTAAAAAATCAGTTTTGATTTTATTCAAGCTGTTCAAGATTAATCTTGAATATCAAAATGTTCAGAAATAGTCTGGATTAACTAAAGATTTTCTTTGGGGAGAATATTTGATAGTAGTCTCTGTAAAGTGAACATGAAAGTACGAGGGGAAGAGTTCTTGAGTGATTCACCTTATAATCTTGGAGAGGTTTTGAAATTCTTAAAAGTGAAGACCTGAAAAGGGAGGGTCTTACCAAAATCGAGATGGATATCACTGAAAAATCTCGATGCCCTAGATTGTTTGAGGTTTTGTCTCGGTCTGAAATTTTTAGTTGAAAGTAGTTTCGGCAAATGGATTTTTCAATATCAATACGGGAATACCGAAAGGTACCGAGTCAATACTTTCGGGAGTGTTGCGGGATTATTAAACCGTGCCTAACACTAGTTGGAAGTCTGTTTGTTTGTCGTAAAAACAGTAAGTTGTTTAAAAGCCCCGAGACTATTTTTACAGAAATTTGGGTAAATAAAAAAAAACATTTTTAACAACTCTCGTGTCAACAAAAAATAAAAATGAGTAAATAAACTATTGAAAAAAGGAGTGGATTAAGTAATATCCGATTTTCTCGTTCAATAATTTGACGAACAATTATTATTTGAACACATTAAATAGTAAAATATTTCAACATATTTTTATTTTTTAATGTTTGTTTTGTAATTTGTTTACAATAAAATAACTGAGAAAATGTGTATTTTGAAGGTAGAAATGTTTATTTTTAATCTTTATAAAGGAACTAAAAAGAAGAAAATGAAAATGGCTGATAATAAAAGAAAAGTGGTGACTCATTGAGGGGGTTTTGAAGAGAGGGAGAGAAAGTATTTGACTAAAGAGGAAATTTTTTTGAAATAAAAATATCATGAAGAAATTGGTGTTTCTTTGTATTTGTTAAAGAAAAAAGGAGGGTTCCGGTTAATCATGATAGTGAGGAAGAATAATGATAGCACGTCTTTTTCGTTTTAAGTCAGTGTTCTGACGGATGTTTTAACGGGATCTAACCGCTTGCAAGCACATCATTCCATTAAAACATCGGCACAATTCGTTTCTGGTAGTGACTTATTATCGAGCTTCGATTTTACACAAAGGATCTAAGGGAGTATCAAGGGATTTGGGCATGATATCAATGGATATCTTTGGATTAAAGGGATAATAAGTATTTTGAGGGAACTCTTTTATGAATCGTTCCTGAACTCTTTTATGAAAATAAAAATAAAACCATAGATTCCAAGACGCAGAGCTGATACCTTAAGGTAATAGATATCCCTTAATCCAACAAAATTTCTCGATAATCTCTCTAATCCCTTCTAATCTACCAATTAAACATGTAAAGATAAAAAAAAGTAAAAATTGTGTTATCGAAATGATGTCGACATTCAGGGTCAATAGGCATAACTTCAAAATAAATCTTCGTTTTCCTTGTTCTCAACTATTCCCATTTTATAATTTGTGATACTTGTCAAAACCTGGCGTTGTGTCTGGCGGCGCGTGAGAAGGGAAAAATCATTTATAAGAAAAGACTTTCCGAGGCAAATTTAAATTAAGTGGGGCTATTTTTATTGATGCCTTTTATATTATTAATTTTTAAGTTTTCCACTTTCATCAGTTAATTATAACTAGAATTGATTGAAACTTTTTATTTTCGTAGATTTATTCATTTTCAAATACTAACATATCCAACTTATTCTAAACTTCTTTCGTTATGGAGAAATGCAAAATCGATTTTTATGCTTTCGAAAAGTACGTGCTCAACGGCGGTTCAGCCTGGTATTTTAATGGTAGTGTGCGTATGAAACAACTCGTAACCGACTGTTTTAATGTTTTCGGTCATATTAACTTTTTTGAAATAATGGGCTGCCACCAACACTTACGTCACGTGTATCGAGATGCGAAGGTTTATTCATATATGAAGGATGATAAAAAATACAATATGACAACAAGTTTGTTGTTTTTTTCTTTGTTTGGGGCAATCTCTATCCCTTCAATTTTACCTTTATTAATTTTAGTGCAAACACGTGCGAAGAGACAGCTAAATCATGCAAAAACGTTGGTGGAAAGAGCTGAAAGTCCTGGTCAGAAAAAGTTTGCTGAAATAAGGGAAAATTTGGCGCAACAGTTATATCAGGTATTTGTTTATTAAATTTCTGATTAAATTCTATTTACTTTTAGCTTTTGATTTTGCAAGAGTGCGGTTGCGAGAGTAATTGGCTTATTAAAGAATATTTACAAGCAATGGATTTTTCGCCAAATTTATCTTCATCTACACGTGTACCTGTGACCCCATACACATTATGGGATTTTGTGTTTTTGGATTCGTGGACATTAGGCGATGCTTCTTTGGCGGACAACATTCGGGCACAGGTTTTATTTTCTTTTTCCAGCTCTATATCAAAATAAAAATTAAGGGGCACATAACAACGCACAATTCACGTGTGCACTGCCATCATTGTGGCAAGGAAGGACACAAGGCATGGACCTGTCCAGTTGGCCATTTATGTCGTCGGTGCAAGTCACCACTTCATACAACAAAATACTGTCCGCGTTTAACATGCTTTTGTTGTGCTCGTTCTGGCCATGTTGACAGCACGTGTGTATTTGTGCATCCTCTTGCTCAAGCACTAATGAAGACTGGTAGCAAGCCGTGTTATAACTGTGGGAGTCTGGAACATTCAAAAGGTATATTTCTTAGTAATTGCCCATGTTAATAATAATAAAAAGGTTTTTGCAATATGCCGCGTTATTTGCCGATGACAATTGAAGAACTTGAAGTCCGAAATATCCGATTACCAAGAGAATTACTCTAAGTATGCGCAGGCTGATGAAAAATAAATGGAAGATGCAAATTGGTTTGTTGGATGATATTCGCCAGTATATGTTTAATACATTTTCATTTTTTTTGAAAACACGTGCAAGTTACCTAAGTTTAAATTAGATTTATGACCTTTTAGTATTAATTGTACCAAACGAGTCGACCCTAATGCCTACAACCTCAAAAGCCTATTGTTTTTAAATGCCTACATCATTTGTTCAACACTTTTATAATCCTTTTTAATCTTCCCAGATCCCTGATTAAACATGTAAAGAAATAAAAATAAAAATTGTTGATTAAAATAGTGTAGGTCTTCGGGGTTAATGGGCAATGATGCTGTATACCTTTAACGGTCAGCCCTCTTTGTGCCAAAAAAATAAAATTTTAAGGACAAACTTGTTTTCGAACTTAACTTTCACGTGCTTTTTCTGAACGCTTTTATCCTTTTGATCTTAACCAAAATGGCTCTCTTTAGGGCTAAAATCAGCATTTTATAAATGGGATTTCATTTGTTGACATTGTTTCTAATTTTTTTGCTTCAATAAATCTTTCTTTGAGATAGTGGATTTTATTTGCGTTTTAATATCGCCTCACGGATTCCAACTTTTTGCTGTTGAAACGCTTGGGATAAGTAAGGAGCAAAAGTAAAACGAACTTTTGAATATATGTTGACAGCACTAGAAACATTTAATATTCAAAAGAAAAATCCAGAAATTGCTTAAAAACATTAAATAAATGAAGTTACTAGGGGTGAGGGGATTTATTTAGCTAGAGAGATTCGCTATACAGACAGAGAGATTCGCTACACATACAGTTTTGGGGCAGTTTTAGTACTTTTAATTTGGCAATGGTAATTTAGTTTTTTTAACCCTTAACTCCTACACTTGAATTCATTACCGACGGTGACGTACTATCGAGATTCGACTTTATGTTTTACCAAAATGAATTTTATCTCTTCATAAAACAGAGAAATAAATTTGAAAATTTTTAAAAGAAAATATATGTACATGGGAAATGTCATTTTTTGACTTTTTAATAACCAAAATATAGGTTTTCTTTCTCTGTGTTATAGCGAAAAGCTTCGTCAAAAACATGCTCCAAACATTGCTGAATTTAAAAAACAATTTAAAATAATTTTTAAAATAAATTATTTATTTACTTGACAAGTACTATTAGCATCAATTCCTAAAAGTTGGAGTGTTCCCCAAACGTTGATGGGTTCATTGAAATCTTAAAAAATTGAGGAAAATTTTTTTTGAATTTCTAACCATTAAATTGGTTAACAATATCTGTAGTAACAGAATCCTCTAAATTATCTTGAATGATCATCCCATCCTTTTGCATTCGAAGTCCATTCGAAATATAATAAGAAAAAATTAAAATAAGGCAGCAGAATAGAGGGAGTTGTTCTCGACGGGGCCAAAACATTTGTGATTTTTTTCCTAAAAAAATTTTTTCAAAAATTTCTGAAATTTATTTTCTGAAATTTATTTATTTTTTAAATAGGATTCTTTGGTGTTGAACAAGTAAATATTTGAAATCAAATATTCTTCAATTCAAAAAATAATTGGAGGGTATGACAATTTTTAACACTGATTCTGGGTTCTTAATCCGAACAAACTCAAAAAGAAGAAAAAAATTTTACGGAAATTCGAAAAAAAATTCCTCAAAAAAACTTTGAGGAATCCATCTGAAAAATAATATGAAAAAATTAAAATAATACAGAAGATGGCACCGGATCCGTCTTCAAGGCCATCTTCTGTATACGGAAAACGATGCCTTTAAGATGGCACCGTTTACTGTATATACTCTATTAATTATCCTCCATCAAATAATTTCTTATAAAATTATTTTTAAAAATTAAACACCTTTAAATTTAATTTAGAAAGGGAAGGGAGTGATTAAGAAAGGGAAGGGAGTGTTTATAGCTAATGAAGGGAGAGAAACACGCGGCAAAATTTTCTCTCTCTTTTTTGGCAGGGCCCTCTAAATTTTTTTCTTTTTTTCTCTATAATATAGAAATATTTAAATATACGTATAAAAAATCAAAAAATCAAAAATTGATTTATTTGTTGGGAATTGTTGAGTGATGGAGTGTGAGAGAGAGATTGAGAGAGAGATTGAGAGAGGGATAGAAAAAGAGAAAATTAAAATCTAATATGGATGCCAATGAATTTCTTAACATTTATTTAATATATTCTTAATTTTTAAAGTGTTTTTAAAAAACTTTTTTGGCAATAAACGCCTTGAAGATGGCACCGTTTAATTAAATCTTGCCATTCTAAGCTACCGTAACCTAATAGAAATCATGGGATTATACTTTTCGATGGGTCTCGTTGAGTGGGCTTCTACTAGGGCATGTGCTTATATTCTTCAATATCAAACTTTTATAATAAATATCACAAGAGTGTCTTTAAAATAGTGTTTACCGCTAAGCAACAAAAAGGCTTATGAAACTAGAGAACGGCAAGGATAAATCCCGCAAATCAAAAAAAGTGCGGGATTGCGTACGCAGGATCCCACATAATCCTGCGCGGGATCCTGTCCCGCGCCGGTCTCTATATGAAACATGAACTGGAAAAAGTTAAATACCGTTCCCAGTTCCATCCCGACCTCACAAGGCCGAGAGAAAATTCGGAAAATAGGGAAGGCCCCGATCCCTAATTTACTAACGTAGTTGAGTCAATTGAGAAATTTGTTAAGAGAAAATTTTTATTTTACATAAGGTGGTGTTGAATTTAAGGAATTTTTTTGTTTTTTTTAGATTTTTAAAATGTTACTCGATACCAATTCGAGTAACAGGAAAAATTATTTATTAAAGTTATTAATTTTATTTGTCGCACTTTGTGGAATTAATTGTCACGTTGTAAGATTTTAAATTGAAAGGAAGACTAGACGGGACTTCAAGATCTATTAAAAGAGTGTTTTCATATACCAGGTTTTTCCCAAAAATGGAATCAGATCGGACGAAGGATAGTTGAACTAATCATTAATTGTCTTAGTCATTAAAGGACCTAGTCAATCGCCTAAAAACCGGAGGCTTCTCTCTTTAATATCTAAAGCCATGTAGTAGGCGGCGTGATGTAATGGCTAACACATCAGTCCGGTATACTAAAGATGCAGGTTCCCAGCCGCCGATTAACCTTTTGCACTAGCTGAAGGAGAGAAATAGCTATAGCCCAGATTCTGTACTACATATATGTAGTACAAGTACCTCTTGAAAGAGGAAAACAGGGTCTCAGGATCGATGACTTGTCGGGGCTTTGTAACCTTTTCTACCTGTTCTCTTAATTAAATTTCAAAAAATAGAAAAAAAGCGCATCACTTGATGAAATATTAAATCTTGGCAACAGTTTAAATAACGGGCAGATAACTGCCGGACAGTTGTTAGAAAAGAAAGGAGGAAAACAAAACAAACAAATTAATTCCTTTAAAAGAAATTCAAATCAGAACATTTCAAAAAATTCGAAACAAATTTCTAAGGAAAAACAAAAACCAAATTTGAAAAATTCTAAAAATTCTAAAAATAATGTGGTAACCAAAAAAGTAATTTCAAAAGAATTACAAAAACAAATTAGTAAAAAACAACAGAAGGAATTAAAGGAATTAAAGAAGATGGAAGCAATGGAAGCTATCATAAAGGCGGTAATTACAATTCGAACCTTATTATAAGATCCCCTTTCGGGCTAAAAACTCAGTATTGGTCAGCCATGGAAAAGGGCAATCAACTATAAAATTTTAGCCTTGATCGAATCTCAGGGAATCTTATATTATTCGAAAGTCCTCTCTCAGACAATGGGAAGTTAGAAAAATAAGAGTCGAACCTTATTATAAGATAAACCCCTTTGGGCTTAAAACTCAGTATTGTGCTGCCATTGAGAAGGCCAACTGTCAGCTTTAATCAACTATAAAATCTTAATCTTGATCCAATTTCAGGGAATCTTATATTATTCGAAAGTCCTCTCTCAGACTCTGGAAAGTTCAGTAAAAACTAGGAAAATCCCTAAAAACTACACTCTTATAAACTAATAAATGTGAGAGAGAGTAAATAATTACACTTATCCTTTAGGCAGCCCCCGCCAAGTTCGAAGAATTACCGTATTTCCTCTATCAGAATGCTATGTCATTCTATTTTTCAATCACCTCCAAAGGTCGCATTCTAATAGAGGGTGGCATTCTATTAGAGGGTGGTGTTCAGATAGAGGGTGGCATTCAAATAGAGGGTGGCATTCAAATAGAGGGTGGCATTCAAATAGAGGATGGCATTCTAATAGAGGGTGGCATTCAGATAGAGGGTGGCATTCTATTAGAGGGTGGCATTCAAATAGAGGGCGGCATTCTAATAGAGGGTGGCATTCTAATAGAGTAAATACGGTATCTCAAATTAGAATGTATTAATAATTGAATAATTTATTTTAATTAATTTTTAAAATAAGAATTTGGAAAAAGAATTGAATGAAAAAATTCAAAATGGAATAGTTGAAAATAAAATTAAAAAACATCACAAAAATGGAAAAAATAAGAAAAATATTAAAAATAAAGAAATTCTTGATTCTGATGAGGATGATGAATTAGTTATTCCAACATTTGGAGAACATCCAGGTTGTTTCTTCCACATTGGAATGAAAGGAGATCTTGAACAAAAATCTTATTGAGATCTTTAGAGATAACGGTCTCGATTCTTGTATGACCTTCCCAGTTAGGGCTCTATTTCATACATTACTTTCTGGAATAAATACCCTGGATAAATATTTTTTGGAAAGAGATAGGAGGCCCGAAGATATTACTCCTTTATTCCATTATCAAGGTTTTGGGCCTTGCATTGAAAGAAACAGGAATTGGAGGTCCTGGGGGAAGAGTCCCTCCTCAGGGTTTGGGCCTGATTTTGAAAATTGGAATTGGAGGTCTTGGGGAGGGGTGGGGGGGGGGGAACACAGGAATTGGAGGTCTCACCTCCATTAAGTTTATAAGGTTTGATCTTTTTTTCTCAATATTTTAAAAATATTTTTACAAGGTTTCATGCCTATTGTAATGCACAAATTGACTGAACACAAGATAAAAAGCTCAGAATTAATTAGTAAACGTTTGGAAAGTGCAAAAGATGTTCGTAATTTATTGTGGACAGCTGTGGCTGTTGCACAGAGAAAATTGGTTGATACTAGAAAGGGTATGAAGATTGTGGATAAAGGGACACAGGTTCCGTTCAAAAGGAATTATTCATTTAATTTTAAAAATTTCAGACTTGTTTGTTAGAATTTATTGCTCGTATGGTTGGTGGGGCTTATACACCTTTTGCTTTCATTAAGGAAGACAGTAAGAATTTTAAAACTAAAATATTCCCTCCATTATCCTGGGTTTGGGTTTGGCAAGAATTGGGGGCCTTAGGGGAGGGGTATAGTAGAGTGGAACACGATTAGTATGATCGAGGCGTGATTAGTTTATAAGTTTCAATCTTTGGGTTTTTACCGTGTTGTGCCCATGAATGGGCCGTGTATCAAGAAAGTTTGGGTAGTGGTCTCAAAATCTTTTTTCGGATAGGGGTTTGGGTCGAAAAATAGTCACTGTCTTGGCTCTCTTTCGGATCGGGTCGGTTAAAAGACTCGAATTCAGCCTTGAGATCGAAAACACGAAGGGACCCATACCTGTTACACACCTCTACAATGGACTTTGCTTCTTCCAGTGTCGCCCATCTGTTATATCTACTCCGCCTTGCCCCTTCCGTTCTTCAATTTCACTTCGTCTCTGAACCCTTACTACCTCTAACCTCTACTTATTAATCCTTCTTAAATTCCATAAAATATCCTAAAGCCTTTCAACTAAAATTTTCTAGCTCACCATCACCACCACATTACCTCATTTATTTACGCATTACGCAAAAATGATATAGCTTTCCTTTCGTCTGGATATCGCAAATTTTGGCGTGAAAGTAAATTATGCTTTAATTAATTTTTAAAAAATATTTTTTAGAAATTACCGAAGAAAAATTTAAAGAGCTAGAGAAGAAGGTAATACCTAAAAAATACTTTTAAATATTTTATTTTTATTTAAAGCTTACACCAGTGTTTATCAACCGAGAATTCTGATTTTATTTTTTATTTGATTTATTTTAAAAAGTACCCCCCCCCCCCTAAAAAGTACCCCTCCTAAAATACCCAAAATTTTTTCTAAAATTCATTAACCATTTTATCAAATTTTTTATTTAACCGAATCCTTTAGATGTAAGGTTGGCGGATATTCAAATACGAAAGAAGCCAGAATATCCGTTTTAAGGACGAGAGTGAGCTGGGAATTTCTCAGGATCCGCCAACTTTACTCATATGTACATATATTTAAATACCCTGAAAATCCCCAAATTCCCCTCCACCTTGTTTTTTTACCAACTCCTCGATAATTTTTCCCAATTATTTTATGAACTGACCCTCATTTATATTTTATTTGAAATATCCATTATTTAAATGAATAGTTCATCTGTTATCTGTCACCATTGATCAGATTATAACTTTGCGAAAATATGGGGTAAATTTCGAAGAGTTTGGTGTTGAGCTGTAAGAATGATTCACCTAGCAGCATTTAAAACGCTTTGACGAGGGTTAAGCGAATATAAGAATAGCTCAGCTTTAGGGTTCTATAAGCGGTAAGCGAAAGCGCCTAGCGATAACTACGAGGAGACAGATAACAGAAAATTTTACATTATATTATGTTATATACCCTCCCAACATGTTCACATTGAACAATATTTATTTTCCATTAAAATTTTTTCTTTAAAATTTTCGCATAAAAGTTTTTCTAGCTGATAAAGATGTATAAATTTTCTTTATAAAATATTAACAAATTTTTTATGTTATTTTCCTAACTAAAACCTTTTGGCCACAACCATTTCTTTACAGGATAACCACGGTTTTCGGTTAGCACCGGCCTCACTAACCAACCTTACATTTGCCAAACAACTAAATAAATAGACCTAAAAGGATTAGGAATTTATTCAAAAATTTAAATGAGGGAAAATATTGTTAATTTGTCTCTGTTAATCCTAAAATATATTTTTTTTAAATACTATCCCCTTCATTCATTTATTTTGGCAAAAGTAATAATATCTCTTTTTGACCTGTTTAAGACAAGAAATATTATTAATAGGGAGGATGATCTGTCAATCATCCTTCAAACTATTTTACTAAGAAAATAAATAAGGATAATGATGGATAATAAATTTAGAGAGAAGATTTTTTAACAATAAAAAGAAAGAGGAAAGTCCTCAAAATAAAAGGCCAATAAAATAAACCCCAAAACAATACAGTTGGATCTCAATAGCCAGTGTACCGCGAGCCCAATGTACCGCCGAGCTATAACTTTGTCCAAAATTATCGAATCCGTGGCGCCCTGGTATGGTTCGATGCATCTCGACCAGCTGAATCGAACCATATCATGGCGCCACGGATTTGATAATTTTGGACAAAGTTATAGCTCGGCGGTACATTGGGCTCGCGGTACATCGGGGTGTACCCTAAGATGACACTTCTATTTAAAAGCTGTCGAGTTAAAAGCTGGTTAGCTACTAGGTTTTGAGAGTTGAAATTTAACAGATATCTCGATGTAACAACACTTATAATAACTACTCGATGTAGCATACACCTCAATATAAGAGACACCTAGATTTAATATGTATAAGATACCTCATTATAAAAAATGATTTTTTGTGCCTAAAGAGTGTATCGTATGGCGGGGTACTTATTTGAATGTATTTTAGAAATAAGATTTAGGTAATGATCTCTTTATTAGGTAATGAAATAACACAAAATATAAGTAATTTCCTATCTTGGTCAGAAAATTAATTAGAAAATTTTTTCTAAAATAGTTAAACAAATACATATAAGTAAATATTAAATCTCTCTGTCCAATTGGAAATAAAAGCCAAAAACCAAAGAAATATACATAAATATCCATAACAAATCCCCTAGCCAATTAATTTATGCTTGTCCACCTGTTGGTCAATAATAAAAAATATTTTTTTTTGTTTTTACATTTATGTCGGTATATAAATCAAATTTGACCAGCCAATTTTGTTACAAGGTAAATCAAATAAACTAAAAACCCGAAACAGGATTAAAATCAAAAATTATTTTTTATGTTACAAATCTTTGTTATTGCACCTATTAAGTTAAATAATTAATAAACTCATAAGGTATAGGCCGGCCCTCTTTATAGGATAACTGTTGAGTATGTCAGTAGAGATCAGACCTGGTCGGCACCTGGGCCAACCGACACCGTCTTTCCTTAGTTATCCTCGCCTTTTGCCAACTTCGTTATTCTTGTATTTCCTATTGGGATAAACTTGTTATTCTGTTAGTCACAAAATATAAGCCCTTAAAAATATCTAGAATTTAAAGTTTTTGCTTAAAAAGGAAGACAAAAAATAAGAAATAAATAATAGAATTAAAGAGTTTTTATTTCGGCATAAACAGGCATATACAAATTAAAAAAGAACCATTTTCAACTTGTTTATATGCTTTTTTAAATATCCATAAGTACATCTGTATACTACTAGGGTGGTCCATAAGTTCGTTCGTTTTTATGCTGTCCTAGATAATCGTCTATATCTTACCTTGGAATTGATAAAATTAAAACTTCTTGAGTTCATCTTATTCAGCAAAGAATTGTCTATCAAATACAATTTATTTCGTAATTTTTCACTTTTTTAAAAATTTTTTATGGATTAAAGAGTTCCCTACATCCATTCTCGACCTCCTCCAAACTCATGAAGCTCCGCCCATGAAGAAAGTGTCCCATCGATCGGAAAAGATGGTAATCACTTGGTGCAAGTTCGTTTTTTAAGCTGGCATGATATAGACGATTATCTGAGACAGCTTAAAAAACGAACGAACTTATGGACCACCCTACTATTTGCAACAATCATTTTGATTTGCTTTGCACTGAGGTATTATTACACGCCTGAAAATTTTGTCAAGAAAAATATACATACAATTAGAGTTTCACCGGAAGTTCCGCTTACATTCCGGAAAGTTCCAGTGTTTTTTTTTGGTTCCGGCTCCGGTCAAAATTTCGGTTCCGGTGAAACACTACATACAATACCGATAATTTAGAATTAAATTTTAACAAATTTTATCAGAAAAGGGAAAATTTTTTGTTAGTTCAAACAAATTTTTTACTTGCAGCCACACGAACCATTCGGAGCAGTACAATCCCATTTTTTTCCTCTATTAAATTAAAAATAAAAAAATGTTTTAAACTTACTGTGGGCAGTTTTTAGAAAGATTTTGGCATTTACATTGATTTGGACATTTTCCCCCATCAACAATTTCTTGAAACATAATTATAAAAAACAAACAAAAATAACTTTTAAAAGGCTCATTTTTTGGTTAAATTTAGAAATGTTAACAAATTTAATTTTAAATTTTTACAAATTTTTGTGTCAATTTTTATATACATTCTATAAACATTTAAATTTATATTTTTGTTTGTTTTGCCACTTTTTAGATTGTCAAGAAGGAGAGAAAAATACTTCCCTTTACATAAAAATTATTTTTTTTTAAAATTAATCCACGTATTTCCAACATTTTAATTTTATTTAATTTATCAAGGAGGAATGAGGAAATTAAATTTTTGCGGTCAGGAAATTTGGGCACTGTTTAAAGTTGGGCTCCAATATGTGTACTTTGTATATTTTTAAACAGCAAAGGTTCAGTTAGTCATAATTGTGATTGAAAGACAAGAATATTTGCTTTGAGCCCTAAATTCACTCAAACCCCCACAATTTCCTGAGACCAAAATGAGGGAGCCCAAAATTCTCAAAAGTTGGAGCCCAACTTTCCCCGTGCCCAAACTTCCCGGGCCATTTTTACATTAAATAAAGCCAACACTTATTTCTAAAAATTCGAAAACAAAAATTATTTTTATCGTTTATTTGTTCTGTATAAAACTAAGAATTTGAAAATAATGTTTTTAATGGATAAAAAATAATATAAATAATTTAAAAAATTGAGGGTGATGATTTTAGAAATGATATCATTCTTTTTAAATTTTACTTTTTATTTTAAATTATTTTTAATACCTTATAGCTCTTACAGAATTACACTCCCTAATAAGGTTGGCGGATTGTTGGAAATTTTAGGATATCCGGATCTGATATCCGAACCGAAAATGAATATTGAACAATTAATTAAATAGGCCTAAAAGGATTAGGCATTTATTAGAAAATTGAGTTGCTTCAATAAATGAGCGAAAATGAAGTAAATTTGTCTTTGATAATCCTAAAAATTGTTTAAAAAATACTATCCCCTTCACTCATTTATTCTGGTAAAAGTAATAATAACTTTCTGACCTGTATAAGACAAGAAATATTATTAATAGAGTGGATGATCTGTCAATCATCCTTCAATCTTTTTTTACTAAGAAAATAAATAAGGATGATGATGGATAATAAATTTAAAGAAAAGATTTTTTGACAATAAAAATAAAGAAAGTCCTCAAAATAAAAGGCCAATAGGCAAGTCCCAAAATAATTACAGTTGGACCCCAAATTTAATTCTTAAACTTTGGATAATCACTTGGCGTGCGAGTTATACCTTCATTTAAGATACAGCTTATTATACATAAGATATCCTCTATATATGCGACCCAGTTTACTAGGTATGAGATCTATCTGAGCGATACCCTTAATTTTCATAACCCTCCTTATAAAAGGCGATTTTTAAGCCTCAAAAGTTTATTTCACAACTCTGATTATTAGCTTTGGCAAAAAATTAATCATAAAATATTTATTAGTTAAACAAATATAAAAATATTAACTTTCTCTGTTCAATTAAAAATAAAATAAAAGCCAAAAACCAACAAAATATATACATAAATATCCATAACAAATCCCCTAGCCAATTAATTTATGCTTGTCCACCTGTTGGTCAAATAATAAAAAATATTATTTTTTACATTCATGTCGGTGTATATAAATTAAATTTGACCAGCCAACTTTGTTGTTTACATGGTACAATGTTTAACCAAATATTAGAAAACAGGG